CGAACTAAGAGTTTTGTGTGTGTGTTGGTGTGAGTGTGGTCAGTGGATAACGCTCTGCTGTATCCGTTTTCACCTTGCGCGCACTCAGGTACTCTTCACCGTATATCTCAAATCACAACCATCCCCATCTGTTTCCTGTCTGGAGACACCTTCCCCATCGACTTTTATGTCACTCCTCTGGATTCATCTTGCAATCTTGTCCTAGGATACAACTGGCTCTCCTGCTACAATCTACTGATTGACTAGGCTGAGAACAGTATCATTTTCTGTTCAAGCTACCAGGACCCCACTCCAACCAATTCCATGGCCTCCACCACATCTCAGGGACTTCTGTGCCCACAGGACAACAGTCCATTTTTTTCCGAGCCTTCCAGCTCAAATCTAGGACTTCTGTGTCTACAGGACAACAGTCCACCTCTTTCCGAGTCTTCCAGCTCAATTTTGGGACTTCCATGCCCATCAGACTCTATCAGTCTAACTTCCGGGGCTTCACCCCATTCCAAGTCCACATCGGGTAGCCAGTGGACTTTATTCCCATATGAACCCATCTATTCCTATCCTCTCTCAGAATCTTTTACTATGAAAGCACACCCAAAGATCTCCATCATATCCGCTGCCACATTCATCTGAGCCAGTGCAGAAGAAGACGCCCAGCAGTTCACACTGCAGCCTTCTTTGCCTAATATTGGAGCCAAAGCTGCATCTATGGAACTAGCAGATCTTTCATCAGTGCCAGTAGAGTATCACGATTTTGCAGATGTCTTCAGTGATACCCTCTCTGAAAAACTACCTGAACACAGATCGTACGACCTCAAAATCAACCTTGAGGAAGAAACATCTCCACCATCTAGACTCATTTATTCTCTCTCACAATCTGAACTCAAAGCTCTATGAGAGTTTATTGATGATAATCTGTGCAATGGGTTCATTACTCCATCCCACTCTCCACACGGGGCTCCAGTTCTATTTGTCAAGAAAAAGACTGGTGAACTCCAACTTTGTGTTGACTACCATGGCCTAAACAAAATCTCCAAGAAAGATTGCTACCCTCTCCCCCTCATTTCTGATCTCCTCGACTCTGCCCGCTCTGCACGCATCTACACCAAGCTTGACCTTTGGCATGCCTATCATCTCGTTCGCATAGCTAAGGGGGACGAATGGAAAACAGCCTTCTGGACCTGTTACGGTTCCTTCGAATGGCACATCATGCCCTTTGGCCTCACAAATGCTCCAGCAGCATTCCAACGATTTGTGAATGATATATTCTCAGACATGCTTGACATATCAGTAGTAGTCTACCTCGATGATATCCTCATATATTCTGACAACCCAGAAGATCACCAGAAACATGTTTGTGAAGTCCTACACAGGCTTAGAGCTAATGGACTCTACTGCAAAGGTTCCAAATGTGAATTCAACTGGGACTCCATGGAGTATCTAGGCTACATCCTATCATCTGAAGGACTTTGCATGTCTGAAGAAAAAGTCAAGGTGATTGTTGACTGGCTGGTGCCACAAAAAGTCAAGGACATCCAATCCTTCCTCGGCTTTGCCAACTTCTACCATCGCTTCATACACAGATATAGTGACATCATTATCCCTCTTACACGACTCACCCACAAGGGAACTCCATGGAAATTTGACGACAAATACTTGGCTGTCTTCAATGAATTGAAACAAGCCTTTACACATGCTCCCATCCTTACTCACTGGGTTCCTGATCGAAAGATAGTGGTGGAAACCAATGCCTCCGATTACACCATCGCAGCTATCCTCTCCATCTACCTCGAAGATGGTGAAATTCACCTGATTGCATTCTGCTCCTGGAGCCTCCATAATGCTGAACTCAACTATGACACCTATGACAAGGAGCTCCTGGCCATTTTCAAAGCTTTTAAACATTGGCAGCACTATCTTGAAGGCTCCACAGACTCCATCGATGTCATAACAGACCACAAAAACCTTGAATACTTCATCACCACTAAAATTCTAACCCACTGACAAGTCTGCTGGTCTGAATACCTATCCCAGTTCAACCTAATAATTCGTTTCCACCCTGGAAAACTTGGTGGAAAACCAGATGCACTCACTAGACGATGGAATGTCTACCCTAAAGAGGGGGATAGCCAATATGCCCAAGTCAACCCTCACAATTTCCGACCCATGTTCATCTAAGAACAACTTTCGGTGTCACTCTGTGCAATCTATCTTGAAGGCCCCACTCTACGGGCTAGTGCCATCATGGATATCGACAAACTCCACACTGATATCAGACAAGCACAATCCTCTGATGC